CACTAACACCTAATAGTGACAAATTCAGTGGGTAATTGTCTCTAATTTTATTTTGTTTTGTTACGCCAAAGTATGACTACCTACGTGCGTACATAAGTTACACACACACCTTTTCTTATTTTAAATCATCTTTTTTCCATGAGGTTAGAACGCAATGTCCAAAAGTTAGTAATTTTTTTTCAAATAAAACACATATTCTAGTAAACTATATATATAGCATTGTTTCAGGACTATCCTAAAATTGCAAAACTTTATGGTAGCAGCGTCGGACTGAGCAATGATTACCTCAATCGTGCCGGAAACACGTCGCGCGGTCGCCCCGTATTACTGACGCTATGTACATGGGCACACGTTCCGACTCAGCCCAGCGTAACGCGCCGTCATTTTTAAGCTTTGAGAATAATTGGGTGGGAGGATCAGGCGAAGCCACAGCGCTTTGCAAATAACTTGGCGACGGGTATTAAAAAGACGGTGTTAAGGACTTGTCACTATTTTAACGTACGAACAGCACTAGTGAGTCTTTGGTTTAAAATATGGCCTTCACCTTTTGGGTTAATTGGATAAACCAAACTGGAGGCGTATGATAATCCACTAGGAAAATGAAATAAGGATGCGCTGCAGCATATTTCAGATAATAATTTATATTAACAAAAAACTGCGGTTGCCAAACGACCTGCCGAGCGTGACAATTATGTCACATATTCCCCCTATGAGACGATCTATGGAGCAGGTATGTCCAGTTGAATGAGTGATGAATGAATGAAACTAGTCAAAGACAGTTATCAGATCTACTAAAGAAGGATTTTTTTTTCAATTTATTATGGCATTGGCGAAAAGGCCTTCAGCCAATATCAATATTATTGAAAATTTTAATAGTTAACAAATTTAATATTTCTTCACAATTATATGTAAATGCGTAAACATTCCGAAGTATTTGGAAGAGCTTGATAACAGTTTAATCCAGCAGGTTGTATCTGGAGAAGAAGTACATGAAGATAGTATCTGGAGGTCCATAAGGGGACAAATTGCATATCCTCCGATGGTGAAATAACCTTAGTACCTACCTACTGAGGTTATTATCACCAACGGAGAAATTGTTTTATCGTTTTCTCTAACTGTAATCACACAACGTCATCTAGTTATTTATATGACAAGATAGTTGTTGAAGAAAATAGTTTGCTCTCGGTCAGAGGAAAATGTCATCGGCTTTTTAGTACCCAGGATAGACTTGTTAGGGATAGAGGTTGTTTTAAATTCGCCACTGCTAAAATCTGGAACGCTTTGTCCGGTTTACTCTATCTACTCGTATATCTACTTTTCGACAAAATGCCACAAGTGGTAATTCAATAACAGTCCTCTGTTTTCATACAACCTCAAGTTATTGAACATTTTTTGTATGTTTAGTTATTTTTATTATTATTTAATGTTAAAAATATATAAGTAGTCACGCTATGTCAATTTTATTAAACGAAGAGCCTGAAACAAGTCTTGCACATAAATAACCATTACAGCCTATCAGAAGTCCACTGCTGAACAGAGGCCTTCCCCATAGATTTCCTAGCGGGGCAGGGGGGGGGGAGGGATATTTGCCATAGTTGTAACGCAAGGGGGGTTTGCGTTGTTACCCCCGAGGACTAAGATAGAATACCTCGTTTTTAGTAAAAAAGGCCTTCGGTTCACTACACTTATTATACGAAACACAGCAGCATTAACCTGTTACGCTGGTACATATTCTGTGAGAGCGTGGTCCGTGCTTGTTCGAGTTGACTCATTCGTGCTACAACCATAATATAGCTGCAGCTTGGCTGTACTACGTATAAAAATACACAAGAAAATCTTAGCGCTTAAAACACAGAAGAAACAAGAAACCAACATGGTGATGGACATAGTATTGATTAAATCAATTCGATATTAACGAGTTGCATAAAAAAACTCCCCAATATAAAGAATAAGGCTAATAGTCACAAGGCGGTCGTAATTTTACTGTATCTATTTAATTCATTAAATTTTAAGTATTAGGTAATCAGTTTGTCACTTTCAACTGCATTTTGAATTACAGATATCCCATATAAAAATATAAAATAAACGCTTCTTTGCCTTGATATAAAAAAAAATAGACACTTCACAGATAATTGAAAAAGGAAAATTTGAAATCATACAAAATTAAGTAGTAATTATTTGTTGGCAATCTTTTACAATTGCTTGCCGACAATCTCTACTCTGTGCGAAAGTCTGACCACAGACTTATAAGTGTTAAACATTGGTAGTATGCACATAGACAATGAATGTTTTATTTTGTTTTATTTATTTTGTAATATGTATTATAAATAAATTATAACTTTTAGCACTCTTTCTCCATATAAAGCTTAACTATGCTATACTCTTCCATGCGCGCAATATGCTTAAAAAGGGGTTAAAAAGATTGACTTATAGTATCACAAACTGTTTTGTACAGGCTTAGTGTAAGTTGTAAATATAGATATAATGTAGAGCGGTTTGTTTGTCCTCGTGGGCGTGTCAATCGCGTGGGCGGGACCGCCTCCAAATTGTTTGAGCTGGAAAGCCCGGAGGCCTATGCTTTGTCATTTAACTTGGATATAAACATTGCTCTTCTCAACACAAAGGGTGCGTATAGTGCCAGTATTAACTTCCTACGGTTAGCTGCTTAGTGCTGTTTGTATCTTAATACTATAAGTAGGAAATACTTGTGTATATATTTATAAATTGGATGAACTTTTCTATTTAGATGATATTTTATTTTCCAAGTGTACTCTTTATATATTTGATTTTCCAAGTGTATTTTTTTTCTAAAGTCGCGCCAAGCTCAGTCGCTTAAGTGCAAGATATTTTATAGAAAAAAAAGAGAGCATAAACGCTTAAAAAAAGGAACATTAACAACAAAATAATATCCTTATAAAAACGAAGTTTATATTGGACTGGAGCAGCAAAAGGGCTGATATTCTGACTGTTTCGTTGTTCTAGTGATCGTTATCGCTACTGCTGATAATGTTGTCCTGGGTATCAATCCAGGGTTGGGCCAAAATCAGTTATTGAGCTAAAATTCTTATCATAAATTATATTTTTATAGATAATATAGTTCTCGCAGAATACCAGCGTAAAATAGCAGCTTAACGCTACTGTGTTTCGTATGGTGAGTGTAGAGAACCGGAGACCCTTTTTACTGGCAAAGAGGCATTCCATCTTAGTCCTCACGAGTGTCAACACATCTGCATTTTGATTTGTAATAGAGGATAAATGTAGATGTCTATGGGCCGCAGCAACCACTTACCGTCAGGTGGACTGTGTGCTCGTTTGTCACCCTTATCCTATAAAAAAAAAAATTAATAGGACCAGACGTTACTTTGCGGAAATCCTCTATACTAAGTCTTTGAGCGAGAAAAGAACCAACCCTATAAAAAAAAATTAATAGGACCAGACGTTACTTTGCGGAAATCCATTACCTATATCAAAGATGTCAAAAATGTATTTGCTAAGATCTACTTAATACGCTATTTCTATAATGAGAGAGACTACATATTTGTGCCATTTGCTGTAGAGACTATGATAAGAATCACCAGAAGCAACGACCAGCCGCGGATGGAGTTCCTTTAGGAACTTCACCGCACGTGGACCCCACGGACCGATAGTCTCTACAGCAAATGGCACAAATATTATGTAGTCTCTCTCATTATAGAAATAGCGTATTAAGTAGATCTTAGCAAATACATTTTTGACATCTTTGATATAGGTAATGGATTTCCGCAAAGTAACGTCTGGTCCTATTAATTTTTTTTTATAGGGCTGGTTCTTTTCTCGCTCAAAGGCTTAGTATAGCCATTCAGCGGGGAAACGCAGCCAGCGTTTTTGGCACGATACCGCGGGGAGTAGGACTGTATGATAATTGAGTTACTAGTTTTAGTTTTTTATTATTATTATGGTTTTTAATATTGTAAATAAAATTACGTAATTTATTACGCGGATCTTAAGCAAATTAATGCTTGACATCTTTATGTAAAATAAATTTGTAAGTTTATTGTTTCAAATTTGAATACCTACCTACAGCACACTAATTTTAGTTAATCCATCCGTCCATCCATCCATTACAGCCTATAAGTCTACTGCTGAACATAGGCCTCCACCATAGATTGCCTCATAGGGTTATTTGCAATAGTGGTAATGTTACTGTTGATTTAATAATTTCACCTCTCATTGGGTCATGTGCTCCTGGTAGGTTATCTTCTATACATCCATCTATTATAGCCTATCAAAGTCCACTGCTGTACATAGGCCTCCCTCATAGATTCCCTCATAGGAAGGATTTAACCATAGTTGCCACGCTTGGCAATCGAGTTGGCAATTGCAGTATTTTATAATTATAACTTGTTATCAGGAAGGTGCTGCAGCCCATCTCCTGTCTTAGTTTCCCTCTGTCGCCTCTTACCACACCCACGGTAAGATGGGTAGTGGATATTCTTACATCGCCACAACAGGTATAGTATAGGTAATTAATTTCAAATAGAATACATTAATTTGTCTAATATTATAAACAAAAACTATCATCGCATTTTGTAGTAATGTTTAAAAAACATAATGAATAACTTTCACATTTATTAGTACCTACCTACGTTAATTGTATTGAAACGATGCACTAAATAAAATCCTAAACAATGCGTGAAGAATTACGCCAAAAAAATGTTTACAGCCCATAGTAGATCGGGTTAATTTTTAATTTTTTACCCTCGCATCCCATCGCATAAGTAAAAAAAAAAAGTGAAAAGGCTACTCGCAAATATACAAAAAGTAGTTTATTACAGGAAAATAAACCTTGGTATAACGATATAGAGTCTCAACTAGCAGTATATAAAAGCGGATCGTCTGATACGCAAGAGTGCGGCACAACAAGGAGGGGTTAGAGAGCTGGGCGGTGACTCAAAGGCGGGGCCTCGCGAGCAGTCGCTCCCAGCGGTTAGTACTGAGCGAGTGGCTCGCGATGCCGCACTATGACACCGCCGCACAGCTTCGCGATCCGCGATCTTCTCCCGGAGGCCTCGTCCCGCTCGCCCTCCCCCTCCGACACCGAGCTCGACGTCACTGGCACCGAGACTCCGCCGCCGGGCTCGTCGAAGCAAACGAACGAAGAGAAGAAAAACGAAAAACCCGCATACAGTTACAACGCCCTCATCATGATGGCGATACGAAGCAGCCCCGAGAAACGGCTGACGCTAAACGGTATATACGAATATATAATGAAAAACTTCCCCTACTACAAGGAGAATAAACAGGGCTGGCAGAACTCTATCAGGCATAACCTAAGTCTCAATAAATGCTTTGTGAAGGTGCCGCGGCATTACGACGATCCTGGGAAGGGCAACTACTGGATGTTGGATCCGTCATCGGACGATGTGTTCATCGGTGGTACGACCGGGAAGCTGAGGAGGAGGTCCACGGCTGCGTCCAGGTCGAGATTAGCCGCGTTCAAAAGAGGAGCAATCCTCCATCCGATGTTCGGGAATCCGTATGCGTCACTTGTCGGATTGTATCCGCCTTTGTTGTCAGTTTATGGACGATATGCCCTACCTAGTCCATTACTCCGGCTTCCTCCACCACCCCCGAGTCCTTATCACCAGTTGTACAGAAGGATACATGGACTAGCGCCTCCTATCAGTCCTCCCGCTCCGGATCCAGAGCCGCATCTGTTGAAGCACAGTTGATAAGCGTATTCTAAGACTACTGGGTCTTTTGAAGGTATTCCTGCGATATCACGCCGAAGACTGGATTGGTGAGCATCGAAGAGTTAAGACTGTGATAGAAGTGGACGATCAAGTGTGTAAAATATGTCTTGTCTGTAAGAACTGGTGTTTCTATTTATTTATTGCCGTAAGAATTTATTTAAGAAATATAAATTAACGTTAAGATTTTAAATTTAAAGTTATATTGGAAGCAATAAATTCTACGAGAACTTTGCTTAATTACCGGTGTTCATATTTTCCTAATTATTCGTATACCAATTTGTTGCATAAACAACGTTTTTAGAATAAAGAATAGATTCAATATAGATTGTAGGTAATTCTTATTGATAATTATTATTTACTTTTATCACTATTTCGGTGGAAACATCTATCCTGAGAAGGACCATTATGAACATTTTTTTGTTGAATGAAATCATAAAACCAGGTAACTTCTGTATTCATTCACCATGTCTTCATCAATAATATAATAACCTTTTTAATAAAGTCTTTATTTAATAAAAAATAGTACTTGGCAATATAAACCACCTATGAAAATAATTAAAAGGTTAAACGAAATTCGATCATAATTATCTAGGTATACGAAGCTCCTTGTTCGAGACAGTACTACTACATGTTGTTGAACTGTTTCGGACAAGGAGGGAGTGTAATTAATCGCAGCATTGTTGATTTATCAAATGATCGACGGTAAAGGGAAAATCTAGAAGAAACATGTTGTTGAGGAATAAGAAAAACATTTTTAGGGCATATAAAGTCCGGCAGCAGGCATGTAGTTATCTCGCTGGACACTTCGCCGCTTTAAAAACCATTTTAGTAATCAGAAAAAGCTTTTATATATTAAACTAGCCATCCACCCCGGCTTCGCACGGGTTATTTCTGGGTCTAAACAACAGCACCACTTACCAAGTCCAATTATGAATCTAAACCATCCAGGGACCCACATAAACATATACAAAAAATCCATCAAAATCGATCCAGCCGTTTAGGAGTTGAGTGACAACATACGCACAGAAGAATTACATATATACTTAAATAAAGATTACGTCCCAGCAGTTGGTGTAGACTGTCTAACTTTACTAAGATATTTAAATGATTATGAATATGAACCTTTAATACAAATATGTATAACACTTTTATTTATATTAAAGTGTAATGTTGGCACATTACTCTTTAATCTAAATAAAACCTTTTTTGTATTATTTTGTTACTTGCCTAGTATGTCGCAAAAGGACCAATGGAATATTGGGTTTGTGATTGAGTAAGCGATGGCCTACTGACTTACATTAGAGCCATGCTGCAGCTATATTATGGTTGTAGCACGAATGGGTCGGCTCGACCGGGGAAGGACCACGCTTTCACAGAAAACCAGCGTAAAATAGCAGCTTAGCGCTGCTGTGTTTCGTATGGTGAGTGTAGAGAACCGGAGACCCTTTTTACTGGCAAAGAGACATTCCATCTTAGTCCTCATGGGTGACAACGCATCTGCATTTTGATTCTTTATTGAGGATAGATGTGGATGTCTATGGGTCACAGCAACCACTTACCATCAGGTGGACTGTGTGCTCGTTTGTCTCCCGATCCTATAAAAAAAAAACCACTTCATTCAAAATTTCCATATTTAGGCAATAGTTTTGCCTACAAGTGTTCCGAGGAGTTCTCTGCTCTTTGGACTCTGCTTACCTTTTCGGGGATTACAGGCGAGACGCAATGTACAAAGATTTGGCCTTCAACCGTTTCGCTGTCCGGTGCACTACATATAGGTAATTGCTATTGTCTTACTATTTTGTCTGAAAACCGGACTGTGAAAGTGTTAAGTTCAGAAATCTTCAAATTCAATCTTCGTAATATGTATCTAGTATCAACAAATTTGACCTTTTATATAATCGAGCAGAGAAGTCAATGAAATTTATTAAACAAGGAGATAAAACGGACAAGAAGTTTTTTTTTTAAATTGAATAAAACATATACAGACTTAACGCGTTTAATTTTAACGTTTTTTTTTAAGTTCTTGTTCCTGACATTCCGGGAGTTATTGCATCAATGATCACGAGGCTAATGTGCGTTAGATCCGTACAATCTTTCATCCGTACAGTCTTATTAAATGTACAGAATACTTAACTTGCGCATTCGGGTAGACTTAACATTTTTTTTTATTTGATTGTAATTAATGTTTTGATATAAACCAATTATTATTATGATTTGCATGTAAAATCTTCTCTTAAACGTATTTTTTTTGTGTGCTTGACCACGATCCCACTTAGTGGTAAGTGGTGATGTAGCCCTTGATGGTAAATCGCACTGTCTTATCGTAACAAAAGCCTATTCACTCTTACCTTGAAGACGTCCAGATTGTATTCGGACGGAAAGGTAGACGCCGGCAAATTATTCCAATCCTTTGCTGTACGCATTACAAAAGACGAAGCAAATCTTTTGATTCTAATGCGTGGAATATCGACAACAAAGGGGCGAAGACCCGCCGACCGCCTGGTTGTCCAATGATGGAAAGGAGAGGGAGGAATTAAAGCGTGTAATTCCTGCGCACACTCACTGAAATGCATCCTATAGAATACCGAGAGACTGTGGCTACTCCGCGCTTGTGCTCGAGGCGCAAATTCGCGATTCTTTCATAAAAATATTTTTTTTTCATATAAATAAGGTAGCAAGCGAACAGTCCACCTGGAGGTAAGTGGTTTATGCAGCCCATTGAAACCTGCAGCGAACTTCAAGAAGGAAGGCTACAGATGCATTGTCACCTTTGAGAACTAAGATGGAATCCTCACAGCCTGTAATTAATGGCTTTCTATGCCCTTCAGAACTTCCGATGGAAATACAGCAGTGCAAGCACTATTATTTGGAGGCAGAAATAGGAAAGAGGATAAAAACTACCTCCTATTAAATAATTTATGATATATGTATATATAAATTATCTTATTATTTTTTATTTTATTTTATTTTATAGGATAGGGTGACAAAACGAGCACACAGTCCACCTGATGGTAAGTGGTTGCTGCGGCCCATAGACATCTACATCTATCCTCAATAAAGAATCAAAATGCAGATGCGTTGTCACCCGTGAGGACTAAGATGGAATGCCTCTTTTCCAGTAAAAAGGGTCGCCGGTTCTCTACACTCACCATACGAAACACAGTATTGTTAAGCTGCTATTTTACGTTGGTATTCTGTGAGAGTGTGGTCCTTCCCCGGTTGAGCCCATCCATTCGTGCTACAACTATACTATTAATATAGCTGCAGCATGGCTCTACCACGTACAAATACGTCTTAATTGATTGACGGACTGGCTCGTTGGTCTAGTGGTTGTAAGCGCAACAGTTGATCATGTGGTCTCAGGTTCGAATCCCGGGTAAATTCTCAGTAGCATCCCGAGTCAGGAATTTGACGGTGTTACACCCCTTGCCTCGGAATTCTAGTGAAGTCGTTAGGCTCGCGAATGATATCTCTCCGGTCGTGTAGGGTTGTCGACCTATCAAACTACAGGGAATATAATGTACCTGTACTTGCACACACTTGTAAACTTTACCTTTCCTGTGCAGATGGCTGGTTTCGTTGAGAACGGAGGAAAATATAAGAGTATTCTAAAGTAGTTCCAGACAATGTTGGGGTTACCGACAGATGGCGTTGGGTACCATTTTTTTAGATCTGTACAAGTTGGTACCATTCACTCGTACTTACATATTTCTTCTGGCAAACTGCAGAGTTGCTTTTGCTGAGTTCTTTTTATGTGGTTGTCGTGGTGTAAAATGGGTAAGTACCGGTATAAATAAAGGTAGTGAGGCATTTCATTTTAGATCTGAGGGGTGATCTTTGGCCTTCGTTTTTTTTAAATTGATTAGATACATGTGTGTTGAGCCCCGACGGTTCGACAAAAAATGAGATTGAGTTCATTATGACGACCAGACGACAACTGTTCAGTGATGTCTCAGTGATCGCGAGAGTGAAAACCGGCAGCGATCACCGAATGGTCAGAGGCACACTGAACCTAAACGTTAAATTGGAGAGGTCACGTCTAATGAAGTCAACGCTCCGTCCCCCTCGTGCTCTAATCCAAAGTCCCGAAACCTTTCAGCTCGAGTTACAAAACCGTTTCCAGTGCTTAAAAGACTGCAATGAAGTGAACGATATGAATGACAAGCTCGTGGAAACTGTCCATGCGGTCGGAGCTAAGTTCTGCAAGACCCGCCGCAGAAGAACACAAAAACTCTCCGATCACACTCTTAATCTCATGGCTGTTAGACGGGAGATGAAGCTACATTCTTCAACAGACTTGACAGCATACAGGCATCTGAACAGACAGATCTCCAAATGCATGCGGCGGGACTTACGAAACTTCAATACAGCTCGTATTGAAGAAGCGATCGAGCGGAACCAAGGCTCCAAAGTCTTTGCCAAAGATCTGTCCGCCAGAAAGAGCCAACTGTCAAAGCTGAAGACAGAGTGTGGCAGCACTCTTGTTTCCGGGGCACCTGAGATTTTGAGTGAGATTGAGAGGTTCTATGGGCAGCTGTACACGTCATCGTTGGAGCCACACGCGAGTGTGAGTAACGATCCAAGAGCGAGTCTTATCCGACATTATTCCGATGATATCCCTTGGACTTGAAGTCCTTCAGAAGCTCTTTAATTCCGTTCTCCATGGTGGCATTACACCGGAGGCCTGGAGCAGAAGTGCGGTGGTCTTGTTTTTCAAGAAAGGCGACAACGCTCTCTTGAAGAACTACAGACCGATTTCCCTTCTGAGCCGCGTCTACGTGCTGTTTTCGAGAGTCATTACGAATCGTCTCGCGCGCAGACTTGACGACTTCCAGCCTCCCGAACAAGCCGGTTTCCGAAAAGGCTTTAGCACCATAGACAACATACATACCCTTCGGCAAATTGTACAAAAGTCAGAGGAGTACAATTTGCCACTATGTCTGGCGTATGTGGACTATGAGAAAGCCTTTGATTCCGTC